GAATAGACTTGGAGTTACCTGTCATTCCTGAGCTCTCACGGCTTGCCAACCCAAATCCAGGAACCTAACAGTTTTGGATCATGCAAACCACATGGCCCACCCCTGGCCCACCCCATGGCCCACCAATAACTGCACCCCTCTGGAATCAGGAGACATGTGCTGAGGAATCCTGGGGTCCCTGCAGTGTGGTGGGAGAGTCCCCTCTGCTCTGCCCCCAGGAACAGCCCCTATCCACTGTCCTCCATGACCTGGCCTTGCCCTCTGGAGAGCCATTCTTGCCCATCACTTGCTTGGCCACCTGTGCAGTAGGTAGAGGTGCCCTGGTTTTCTGCAAGGGCAACTTGGAAGATCTAAGAGTTATTTTAAGTCTTGATTAGCCACAGGATTTTTAAAGCCAGGCTTCCGGTTTCTGCCACAATAACTCCTCGAAGATGTGCTCAGTCTTTGGTCCATTTGTGTCCAGTTAGTTCTACATCCTGCAACCACTACCCAAGTACTCATCTGGGTATAAAAGTCTTGGCTTCCTCTCTCTCTCTCTCTCTCTCTCTCTCTCTCTCTCTCTCTCTCTCTCTCTCTCTCTCTCGTACCTTTGTTTGACAATGATTGAGAAATCTTAAAAAAAAATCTTTTGAAGGGCTGTGGCTGGGGCTGAGCAATAGATCACCTGCTGGGCTTGTGTGAGGCATTGAGTTCTATTTTTAGAACCATGTATAAATAAATAAAATAAAAATCTATAAACAACTAAAAAAATTTTTTTAAAAAAAATCTTTGAAAAATTATTTTTGCTACCATCTTATTTCTTCTGTTTGGTCCAAAAGGCTTTTTTTCCTAACTCTGTGAAACAGCTTTCAATATCCACTATTTCCCCCTCCTGCCACATCTATTTTCAAAATCGATATTTCTCACCTCATCTCATCTCTTTCCTTGAGGCATTAAAAGAACAAAGTTTATTTCTTTTCCTCTTTGGATCATGCAAACCACATGGCCCACCCCTGGCCCACCCCATGGCCCAACAATAACTGCACCCCCCTGGAATCAGGAGACATGTGCTGAGGAATCCTGGGGTCCCTGCAGTGGGGTGGGAGAGTTTTCCTCTTAACACTTGAGGGACTGTCCCAGAGCCAATCCATGGAGGGATCTCCTGGTCTGGCTCCCATCCAGTGCCCATCCATGAGCTGATCATGGTGGCAGTACAGGGTGGCATGGAGCAGCCTGGCAGGGGCTCTACAAGAGAAATTAGTTGCGATTACCAAATCCGGGATGGTCTTGGGGAAGGCTGAGCAGCCAGCATTGAGTCAGAGGCCACTGGAGGTCAAACAGGAGGGACAAGATCTGATGTGCATCTTGAGATGAGGGCTTTAGTTGCTGAATGCAGAGATAGGAGGACAGGAGTGAGGTGGACGGGAAATTGGGGATCAATGTTGGGAGTCCATGAGATGGTGTGGCCAGGCTGGTGGGCATGGGAGAATGGTCAAGGGGACACGGTGCCAGAGCTTCATGATAGACTGGGCACAGTGGGGGACAGGTGGATTCCAGGGTATGAGCCGGTGCTAGGGCCTGAGCCACAGAGCTGGAGAGGCTGGGGAAGCTACAGGATTGAGGAAGCCGGCTTGGCTCTTGGGGTGCCTGGGTGCCTGGGGACATCAGGGGGAAGGTCCTAGAGGCATTTCTTGGCGGTGTGAAATTCCACTCTTGGGCATTCTTGTCTGGTTTCTATGAAAAATGAGAAGGATAAACAAATTGGATAATATCTGCTTTGCCCAGTAGAATGTACTAGAACTGGGGGAGGGGCTGTCCCCCACCCCAGGAGAACTTGGAGGGGATGGGCTTGCTGGGCTGTTTTCAGGGATGGGTCCCTTGAACAGCATGGGTCCAGGCTGTCCCTCAGTCCTTCCTGGGAGAGTCAAAAGACCTCTTGAAGCCCTCAAGCAGTGAAGCACTCAGGACCAAGAAGGAGCGTGGAGGGACCAATGAATTTCAGTCGGCCCCCTCCTGCCTCAAGGGACAGACACCACTGCTGTAGTGAGACAGAGGCTACACGGGACAACATGGGAGGAGATGTTGCACTCAGATGACCAAAGTGCTGGGAGGAATGGTGGCCCAGGCAGCAGAGGCCGTGGGCGCTCAGAGACAGGGCTGAGCTGGGCTGCTGTAACCTGGGTGGGTTCCTGGAGGCAGCACTGGCCTGGCTACTTCAACGTCCCAGGCAAAAAGACCATGACCTTAGGGGTGGGGTGTAAGCCTATGTTGGGAGTCCCCCAGCACCTTCCAGTGACAACTTCCTGAAGGAGACCAGGATGCAGAGCACTCCTGAGGTTTTCAAGGGAGGGCTCCCAGCCCTGGCCTTCCCTGACCCCCACATTGCCCCTTATCTGTCTCCACCTCCAAGGCAGCTCTTAACCCCATCCCCACCCCGACCCTTCCCTCAAGACAGTGGAACCATCAGCTCTGAGCGTGGGCCCAGGAAGGCACAGAAGCATGCTGGGAAGGGGCGGATGCCTGCCAGGACAGATAGTCCCCCAGGGCGTGGCAGAGGCTGCTGAGGAGGGCTTGGCCTGGCACTTCATGGTGGGTCAAGGAAGCACGGGGCTTGGGACCTGTCTGCGGCACTTTCTCCAGGTTCTGGGGAAGGGGAATGTGGCAGGAGCATCAGTGGGCCTGGGTGAGCCCCAGAGCTGATGGGCCCTGAGCTAGGAGTGAGCAGGGATCAGCCCATCCATTAGGCCTGCAGCCCAGGCTGCTGATACCAAGCGGACGTTCTGCTCTTGGGCCTGCTATCCACTTAGGCGTCGTTAATATTTTACACCACAGAGCAGGGGATCGATGTCTCGTTTATAGCTCAGTGTTTATGGACCATCATTGAGCTTTTGCTGGGACTGGGAAGATGCTCAGAGCACAAGGGAAACTGAGGCAGGGGAGGTGGATGGGTGCCAGACTTGGAAGAACCCCAAGATGGTTTCCTTTGCATGTTGGGTTCTCTCCCTCCCTTGGCACACGCATCACCCTGCACAGCTGAGCACATCCAGCTCTGAGGGTACATTATGAAGGGCCATCAGAGCCCCTGTCCCATGCTAGTTGTCACATTCAATCCTTTACAAGCCCCTGGAGAGGTGGATTCTTGTTCCCATTTTATGGATGAGGAAACTGAGGTTTGGGGACACAAAGTACTATTGGGCTGTCAACCAAGTCATTGACTTAGGGTCCATGGTAACTAGCTGGGACATGGGCTACATTTTGCTCTGCACTCCAGTATGTAAATTAGATTGCAAAAGATCCTTTAATCTTTTTAGACTTTTAAATATGTTAGCAAGTTGAATGCTCAAACAGTCCCGTCTTCTCTGTGAGCCTTAGTCTCTCTGCTTAGACCCCTTGCCTTGGTCATTGGAGACTCACTGCATCCAATTAACTGGAAATAAAAGCTGTGCATTAATAGTTCTTTAAAAATATCACCCAACCCGGGCTTTTAAGCCTTGTGAAGTAGTGGGTTGGACTGCTGCAGCGCCTCTCTGCGTCATTTTCAATCGGGAAAGACTCGGCTCCAGAATCCTGCAGGACTTGGGCATGTCCGCGTCCCCCTGGGTATTTCACCCTGGGGGTCTCAGTTCTCTCATCTGTACAATAGGGGGGAAAGGAATGCCCTCTAGGGGAATCCTGAAGGATTACAAGTAAACCCAAAAGCTTGGACCAGATACACTGGTTCCAAGAGAGCCCTCAGCAGCCTCACGAAATAGTTGTCACCCCACAGGGATCCCAGATCAGCACCTGGGACAAAGTACATCTCACTGTTGAGTGAATGGCCGAATAGGTAGCAAAAACTCCGAAATGCAGCTGAGATTGTTCAGGCCATGGGTCCAAATGGGTTCACACCCATGCGTGGACCGATGTTGAAATTTCTCCTGCGCTAAGAGAGCAAGCAAGAAGGACTTGGTGTGCTTCCTTGTGCGCCACAGCTGGCGCTTCCCGCTCTCCAAATCCGTCTGGCGAGGACAGCCGCGGCGCGCGGCGCGCGGCGCCCGCTGGAGGGCAGCAGAGTCGAGGGTCCAGTCCTCCAGCCCCGCTGCTTCCCGGCCCCAAGCATCCCGGGCTCCGCCCTGCCACGCCCCGTCCTCTCCGCGTTTCTCCGTCCTTTGCGCGGCTACCCTTCTCCCCCGAGCCCGCGTCAGGAAGGAAGCCTTCCACAAACTAATTAGCACGCCCTTGCGCTGCCGGCGCGTAGCACTCTTCAGACTCCTAGCGCTTCCGCACAGCCGGAAAGGCAGATCGGTCCCTTACAGAGCGAGAGTCTGCGTGTCCGGGACTCGACCAAGGTCACATGGCAAAGCCAGGACTTGAACTCAGTTCCTTAGAATCTAGTGCCAAGCCTGCGCTTCCTTCTAAACCCTTGAGCGCACGCAGGTTTCCAGAACTGAAGAACTTTGGATATCAACTTCTCCGTTTTCAAAGGGTCCAAATCATGGCCAAGTTCAATCTCCGGCCGGGGGCTGAGGGTTGCGGGAAATAACCCCTGGAGAGAGGGCTTCCCGCATCCTCCGCAGGCCACCTGCGTGGGCCGGCGGGGCGGGGCAGGCCGGGCCGGCGGTGGCCAGGCTCAGCACCCCTCCCGGAGGAGCACGGAGCCCCGACTCCTTGCAGAGAGCCTGGCCGCGACTCCCTTCCTCTCGGGCACCCGGCTTCCCCAGTCCCCTGGCCACTCGGCCCCGACCCTGCGCGGGCGGGTGGGTGAAACCGCAGACCGCGTGGCCTCCCGGGGGCTGGCCGGGTGGCGGTGGCTAAGCGCCAGGCTCGGCCCCGGGCTGGACCGTGCGGGGCGGGGCCGCCTCCCTCCGCCCCTTCCCGGGCTGGCGGGGGAGGGGGCGGCCGGGGACGCCTCCCCCAGTGGTCGCCGCGCCTAGGCCAATGAGCGCGCGGGGAGCCGCGATGAAGGCTGGGGCGGCCGGGAGCGCCCGGGACCCCCGCTGCCGCCACCGTGGCCCCGCGCCCTCAGGGCAGGAGAGGGGGCGACAGAGGCGCGGCGCCCGCCCCGGGCATGGAGGCGCCGCTGGCCAGCGCTGGCCCCCGGAGCTGCGCTCCGCGCTGCCGCCGCCGCGCCTCGAAGTTTGCCGGCTGATTGGGAAAGTTGCGCTTGGGTTCGGTCGCCCCGCGGTGTCCAGCCTCCAGGCCGGTGCAGCTCATCGCCGCCGCCGCCCTCCGCGGGGTCCCGGCCCCGCCAGCGCCGCAGCCCCGCCTGCCGGGGGCATGTAAGCCGCCGCCACCCCGAGAGGCCGGGCGGGCTGCACGGGCCCCGGCGCGCGCGGGCGAGGGGTGCGCCCTGGCCCCAGGAAGCCTAGGCGCCATGGGCATCCAGGGCATGGAGCTGTGCGCCATGGCTGTGGTTGTGCTACTGTTCATCGCCGTCCTCAAGCAGTTCGGCATCCTGGAGCCCATGTCCATGGAAGGTAATGCGTGGCCACCTGCCCATCCGCTGCCCTTCGCCAGGGGCCATCGGGCTGTGGGGAGGCAACTGCACCGCTTCTTAGCGGGTCTGGCGAGGAGCGGCCCTGGAGGTCTCAGCCGCCGCCGCCCCCTCCTGGCTCTGGAGGGCTGGGCCTGGGACTAAAGGAGCAGAGAAAGCTCGGGCTCTGAGGAGTCCCAGAAGGGACAGGGCTGCGGCGCTCGGGGTGGATATGAGCTAAGTGCCCAGTGACACCTTGACTGTGCATGCATGGCTGTCCTAGGCCCGCTGGTCCCAGCTGCCCCTGGCCTGGGCCACCCGGCGGCAGGAGGTAGCACAGGGTGGATGTGACCGGAAGGACCCTCGTTCCGAGGCGCCTAGCAGAGGGCAAGTGATTTGAGCCCTCTGCGGCAGGAGGGGCCGCCCCTTTCAATCCTCCAGCGGGTATCTAGTTCCCCCTCCTCAAGCGAAGCTCAGGCCCAGGGAATCAGTAACCAAATCTGCAAGTGCCACATTTCTGTCCCAATAAAATATTAACTAAGGAGACAGACCTACTCTGAAACCAGAGGCCGAGGCTTTCCTGGACCCCTGACAGGCCCCTGGGAGCAGCTGCTTCCCAAGCCATGGTTAGGGCCCTGCCTGTCTTTGCAGGGTAGGAGGAGGGGCCCCTCCAGGGCACAGCTGGTTAGGAAGGAGACCCTGACACAGGGATGAGAACTTCCCCTCCAATGGGTCCCTAGATACAGGTGCAGCTCTGGAGGTGGGAAAGGGGCTGGCTTGCTCCCTCCAGCCTCTGAGGAGGAGGGGCGTCCTGCCTGCCTCAGCACTCTGCTGACCTTGCCAGGCTCCAGCCCTTGCCACTGGAAGCCAGAGGCCTGAGGGGAGGGAGCAGGATCTTCCCCTGACTCCGAGCTGCCCAGCAGTCTCCTGGAGAGCCCCTGGGAAGGGCACGGCCAGGAAGCAGGCCCTGCCTCCATTCTCCTCCAGAGCTGGGCAGGATCTTTGCCTGACCTCCGGTCCCAGGCCCCTGAGAAGCCCTGGAGTTCCATCACACCTCTTTCCTAGGTGAGTTCATGAGACCCAGAGAGAAGGAGCCCTCAGAATGGTTCAGGGAGCTGCTACCATGAGCTTAAGTGGGAGCTGGGGAGGAAATTGGCCCAAGCGGAGCCTGCGCTGGCTGGAGGCTGACCCTGGCAGCGTCATCTGTGACTGGGTCTTAGTGGGAAATGCTGTACAGGTGCCTGGGATCGGAGCAGGGGCCGGCATTCCCCACTGCTGTGTCTTGCCTCCTGCAGGGCATCTCTGTCCCCTGTCCCCTCCTACCCATTTTCTACCAGGACCAGCTAACCTGGCTTTACCTAGTAACTGGGCCCACTCGCTCTCAGCTCTGGGCAGGGTTGAGGTTTGCCTCTGTGATGGCTGAGGACAGGGGCTGATTTCCAAGGTGCAAGGGCTGTGCAAGACAGTACAGGCTTTCTGCCACCTGCTGAAAACCAGCTTCAAGCTCTGATAAGTTTCTCTTCTGTGGTCTAAGTGCTCACGTGTGCTCCTCGGAGTTCTGGGGTTTTGAAACAATTGGGAGAGTCCAGAGCCTAACAGAGCCAGGCCTGAGCTGGGGTCCTATTATCCTCAAAGACTCGGTGTGATGTCCCTTCACCATGCTGAGCCTCATTTGCACCATCTGTTAAATGGGCCAGTAATGCTTCCTGCCTGTGGGGACCACAACAGGCGTGAGTCGGCGCGCAGACTTTGTGAACCATTACTCTCAGCCGTAACTAGCAAGGAGTGATTGATTGCTTGTAATAATAGAACGGATTCGTGGTTGAAAACATGCTCTTGCTCAGCCAGCCACCCTCCTACTTAGGTCAGAGAGGGGGAGTTGTGAGTTCTAGATGTTCTGTGTTGATGGGGAACAGTGCCAGCCAGGGGCCTGGAAGCACCCAATGGCTGGGCAGTGTCTAAGGGACTGTCAGATGAGCTGCAAGGAGCCTGGGCTGTCCCATCCACCTGGCCGTGAACTGCTCTCAGTGCCACTGGGGGCCGGAAGGGGGCTGGTCCCTCAGGACCACTGCAAGCTTGCGCCTGTGTGGTTCCCTGGGTCCCTTGTCCTCTCTCAGCCTCCGTGGTTCTCGTCTGCAAGAAATCAGAGCCACGAGTCCCTGGGGATGTTCAGAACCGAAGAGCCTGGAGCTAGCAGGACAGCCAGAGGGCCATCGAGGAGATCCCTCCCAAGCTTTGGGACCCGGAGGCTGCCCGGGCAGGGCTGAGGGGCTCGGGATTCTCGGGGTGCCTGACACTCCAAGCTTAACAGTGGAGTCTGGGCCCGGGAGGCCCACGGAGGTCCTGAGGCCAGGGAAGTTGTAGACATGGTGTGGTGTGGTTCGTCTGTCTGTCTTCCTGAGTATTGAAGTAGGATTCTCGGAGGGCTCGTGTTCCCACGGGGTGTGAGTCTCGCCCCTGAGCCATAGACGCCTGCTTGAGACCATGGCAGAGGGTGTGGGGCCCCCGCCACTCTGACGTGCTGGTGACATCCCACTCTCCTGCAGGAACCTAAATTCCCTCAAACCTGAGTTTTCCTCCCAGCCCCGACCCACCTTACGGTACTGGATACTCAGTTTATTTGTCAGTCTGTGGCCAGCCACGTGGGGACAGGGACTCTGTCCTGCTCACTCTACTTCCTGGGTCTGCAACAGAGACTGGTACCAGGCAGCAGCTTGATGCAGCTCCATGAATTCAGGAGGGACTCTTGCCAATAAGGAAGGAGGACTGGAACCTGCTCTGTCCCAGTGCCTCAGCCCCTGCCCATGAACCTGGGGCCAGGTGTGTGAGAGCTGCTGGCCAGAGGGGCACAGGAGGCCTCTGAATGCAGGAGAGGATCTGCTGCAGAGAGCGCAGAGGCTGGGAAGTGGGGGGCACTGGGTGTCCACAGGGTTCCATGTGGCCAGAGCAGGGAGTGGGGACCCGCGGCAAGGGAGATGGCGGAGGCTGCCCGGGACCTGTGGGCCTCGCTTCTTAGTGGGTCAGTCATCATAATCACCTGGTGAGCCTTAAATAAATACTGTGGGGCATTGAGCCCCGAGTCTCTGGCTGGAGTCCAGACACTGGGATTGTATAAGCTTCTTGGGAGACGCACGTGCAGCCACAGGGGCCAGGCCCTCCAGGGTAGCGTTTCTCAAAGTGTGTTCCCCAGTGCAACAGCAGCAGCACCCAGGGGCTTGTTGGGAAGTTGCCCCTAGGCCTCCACCCGAACCTCTGGGGTCCAGGTATGGGAGCAGCGGCTGTCTTTTACCCAAGAGTCACTGGGACACACCCAAGGTTGATGACCCCTGCTCTGTCTGGACATGAGCCTCCTTAAGGACACTGGTTCTTATTCATAGAGAAAACTAGAGCTCTTGGAAGGTCCCAAGCACAGGAGGGAGGTGACCTTGAATTTTAACAGGGCTCCCTGGCCACCCTGTTGCAGGGTAGCAGAGTTTGGGTTGGAAGCCCCAGTGGAAGCCCTGTGCAGCCCTCCAGGAGGGGGTGGTGTGGGGTGGGGAGGTGGAGACAGCTTTTGGCTCCATTGCTGAGGCAGCGCTGGTAGGATTTCCATGGGACGCGAGGAAGAGGGGATTTCCTCCTTCAGTTTATTTTTTTGGGGGGTGAAATACTTGGAGATTGAGCCCAGGGCACTTTACCATTGAGCTCCATCCCAGCCTATTTATTTATTTATTTATTTATGATATGGGGTCTCACTAAGTTATTTAGGACCTTACGGAATTGTTGAGACTGGCCTTGAACTTGCAGTCCTCCTGCCTCTGCCTCCTGAGTCGTTGGGATTACAGGTGGGCACCACACCTGGTTCCTCCTCTGCCATTGAAGGCCCATGTAATTTTGCTGGGCCCACCTGGACACCCAGGATTCTTCCCTGTTTTAAAGCCAGCTGGTTTGCAACTTTAATTCCATTGGCACCCTTAACACCCCTTCACCCTGTGACCCAACACATCCACAGGTTCCAGGAATCGCGGCACGCAGAGCTGTCCCTCTGCCTACACCGTGTCTATTAAACACAAAACTCCAAGTGGGGCATCAAGGAGGTGGTGAAAGACACTCTCTCTCTTCAGGGGAGCTTCATGGACTAGAAAGAGAAATTCACAAACCAATAGCCTCCGGTGGGGACACGGCACCATGAGACTGGGGCCGGGGGGTCACCACGGGGGTGTGTGAGATGGAAAAGAGACCGTGTCAGGGACTCAACACTGGGGCTTCCAGGGCTAAGGGAGGAATAAAGAGGCCCAAAGGTCATAGGAACGCCATGGAGAGCCATGTTCTGGAAGCCGAGAGGAGGAAGCGAGGCCGGGGGAGGAAGGGGTGTCCTCCAACCCCAGGTCAGGTGCTGCTGATGAGGTGGTTGTTGGCCCCCAAATCAACACCTGAGGCCCCAGGTCGTCTGGAGACAGGAGCCACCAGCAGACCTAGCAGAGCCTCCCTGGAGTCCTGGAGCCCATCAGCCCTCGGTCCCTTGCCCTCCAAGTCAGGTCATCCTGCTCCTAGTTGGCTGGTCAGGGCCTCCCCAGACCCCGACCCTCCACAGGGTCAAGACCACCACAGGGAGGCCAGGCCATAGGGAGAGGGAGAAGAAGAGACGCTTCCCACCTGGAGGGGTGGTGGGGCTCAGAGACACAGCCGGTCCGCCTTGGGGACCACCGGCAGACTCACACCCGGAGCTGGCCGGAACTGAGTCCCCACAGGGTCCACCGGACTCACCCACTAGGTGCCCCCACCACAGGGAAGCTTCTGGCCCAAAAGACAGTAGTGTCCAAGTTGAGGAGCAGGCTGAAGGGCTGGGACAGCAGCTTCCCTGGGGCCAGTCATTGCTCCCTGAGCTCCGCTTCCTCCTCTACACGTGAGGCCCCGGCCACTCAGGGACTTTCCCTGATCCCCCCACCACCTGCCCCTTGAGGTTGTGTTAGATGACACTGCCCTCAAATTTTCCACGATCACGTCCCCACCGCCTGTGGCCTC